CGAAAAATCCCCAAGGGTTTTTCTAAATAAGTCACAACTGTAGCCCGCGAAATTCTGATTAAAATGAGACATCTCCCAGCTCTACATGACCTTTCTTTGCAAAGTTATAGAATTCACAAAAAAAGCCCTAATCATCTTTCCTTCTTCGTTCTGTAGCTCTGAGGTGACAATAAACATTTAGGGCTTGTCTTGTAAATTCTATAACTTCGCCAAGAAAGGTCATGAAGAGCTGGGAGATGTCTCGTTTTAATCAGACTTTCGCGGGCTACAGTTGTGACTTATTTAGAGAAGCCCTTGGGGATTTTTCGAGGTTTCCGGAAAACTAGTTGTTCAGAAACCGGTTAGGAAATGCCTATGGGGGAAAACGACTATCATATTCGGAATCAGCATGATCGACTACCTATAGTTCGGCTCGAAAGCAATTTGACAGTTGGGTATGTTCCCTCGTGAGTAATGGTGATTTTGATGATGATGGTTTTTGCTCATTTTGTCACTGATATTTTGCAAATCTTTTTTATTATTAACGATTATTTTTCACTGTTTTCATCCTGCAAATATGTACATTTTCCATTTTGCTGTTAGTTTATATTTTTGATGTTTATCATGATACAGTATGAAACATTTATTTATCTCATCTAAGTTTTCTACAAATTTCATGCTACTTAATCTGAACCTGTTCATTACATAGCGTGTTAATACCAAGAAATTATCGATTTTATGTAATCTCATCGGATCTTTCGCCATTTCATACACATATCACGCATAAAAGGAATGCTATATCCAGGATGAATCTGTTTAATTATTCTACGACAAAGAAAAATCGTGATTATTTGAAAAACTTAATTGAATTCAAAACAATTTCCATTTAACTTACACGTTCATTGATTTATGATCATTGTCTTTCACGGTACCTTATTCTTATTTACCGTCTTTAAAATTAAAATTATCGGTCTACGCAGTAAATTTAGAGTATCTTCACTCGAAAACAAACTTTTTTTATAAATTGTTTTTGAGCCTATTACTGTTTCGACTATAGAAAATACATTGATGATTTTTGGATAGTAAAAGAATCAGTTTGTGATGATGACTGATGAAGTTTCATATTTGTTGATGAATCTCTTTTTCAATTATTGTTGATCACACTGGTAGTCAACGTGAAGCCATTTGATGATGGATATAAAACATTGATTAAGAAAACAAATAATAACCCAGAGTAAAAATTCAACTCTGAGTTTCATTAGACATCAGAGAGTCTATTATATTTACCGTAATAGTTAATTGTGTATTAACCATTTTCCTTAATACTATGATATTATTAGTTTTAAATTGATTAAAATAAAACAGCAAGTATTTCATTATCAATTGATACAAACTGTTTGACATAGATCTATCCGTGTTCTTGATCGAAATCAGATAAAAGAAATATCTAAAACTCATTCTGAAACGCAAGTTATATTTTACTACCACATATGTTGTTCTCGTGCATTCAAAACCTATTAATACAGACAACTTGACTTAGTACATTCGTCAACAACACATCGTTGATATTTGCAATTCTATTTATTAAACAATTAATGAAAAAACAGCTCAGCCATCTGCGCTAAAAATACTCGTGAAAAAATAAGAAATACTCGTCCATTATGTCTGCGCCTCAGTGATTGCCTCAAAAGCCAAGTTTCTCTCTAAAAGAGTGATATACCAGGTGAAGTGGAACGATTGTCATCAACAGTTGCTTATACTTACTTGAGCAACTTGTACTTGGTTTTTTCCGTTTCATTTTGTGCAAATTCACATTCGAAACTTGCCAACATCAATGCTAAAATATTTAGATAATAGAAGTTGGCGTCACGCATCAAAGCATTGCCTATTACATTCTTCGCTGAAAACAGGACTCGTCACAATATAATTGATAATTGTTTCATATCGGTCAAACGAACACTGGAACAAAAGAAGAAAATAACTTGACAAAAGAGGATGAGTAAAATAATGACGCAGTACCTTGCTCGATTTGCATCGAATAAACTCCTCAGAAATAAACTTTGATAATGTGTAAAATTTCTAAATAATAACATGCATGTGGATGGTAACTGATTCCGTTCTCATGTTGAACTAACCTTCAAGTTTAATTGTTTGTCCGAAACATAATCAGGTGAACGAACTTTGATGAAATATATCTGAATGAAACGGATTAGTAAACTCTGCGCACTCTGCTACTATACATGTACACTTACATCTCGTAACAAGATACTCAAAAACGGGATAATTACAGTTGCTGGTTGCCAGTGATTTTTCTCTGCTCGTTGCATGGCAGCACGCAAAATTGATCGATAAATGCAAAAGTTCTTGGTTGGGTTTATATACTTTTCTAATGTTTCAAATTTTGCTTTGTTTGCTTTGCTCCACTGAAAAGCAAAATAATATATGATAAAGAAGTTGGACGAAGAAACTTCTAAAATAGACATACAGTTTTCTTTAATCGTTTTATAGGCAACATATTCAATCCTCCTTCAAAACGAAACAACGGTATAGCTTTGTCTAATTTGTTAAATATGACTAACCTAATATGCCCATCATTGAGTTAAAATTTCCCGTATTAAAGCATTCTAGCGCAGCGTCAATAAAGTAGTTGATTAATTTCACTCGTATATGTCGTTTTAAATGTTTGATTATTTCAGTAGTGACAAAGAGTCCAAGACGATTTGACCACGATATATAAGATTCTAACGAAAATGACCACTTGTCAACTTCGGCTTGCTTTTCATTTGTTGTTGTGGTGGCATTGACACACTCCGGACGTGCACGAGCTTCTTCGTTTGCAATCTTTATTGCAAAATATTCGATAAACTCTTCGGCACCAATCGGTTTAAGTCTATCCTTTGAAATGATATGGTACGTTCAAACATACCCTCAACAAAAGCTCAAGCAAAAAGATTTTTTTTGGATCTAGCTTCAAGCTAGATTTTCTGGAACATTTAGCTAGCTCCAACCGTGTAAGAGCTAGATTAGCCCTAGATAAATGTTCCAAAAATCCAGCTTCACGCTAGATCCAGAAAAAAATCTTTTTGCTTGGGAGTATATGTCTAATCTTACCAGTTCGATAAACGTCAACTGGTGAGCAAACTGTTTTGGACATGGACATTGCTCATAAATATCTGTCTGAAGAAGAACAGATCACTATTGTACTGGAAGTCGGAGAAAGCATAATGCTTAAACTTACCGTTAGAACACATGTGTTGAGTCGATTACCTGTTTCGTTGTTGACTAATGTTAGATATTGTTCATATTTATCTAAAATGGTCAACTAGAAAAAGTATGCTGTCAGTAGATCTTCTTTCAATTCGACATCGTCTACTCATTTACTTTTGCACTAAGGTCGAAAACTAATGCATTGACATTTAGTTTCAACAGTGGATATGTTCTGGTAATTTTCTCGGCGACATGTTGTAATTGACTCATTAGACGTGGATTGCGAAAGTCATACGGGAACGTTTTTGTCCATTGAGCAAGCAGTGATAAATAATTTTTCAACAGACCTGAACGATTATCCTAGAAGTGCAATTAAAGTCGAATGAATGAACAAGATAATAAAAACAAGTATACCAGAGAACATTGTGAAAGTGTTGTTAGAACGTTTTTCGTAATTTTGTTGAAAAGTATTGCAGGAGAGATATACATTCGACAACACAAAATTGAAGGATAAACAAAACTATGCTAAATTCGTCAAACAAAATTACTATCGGTATGAGAGAGAATAAAAGTCTCCTACTTCTGGTGTGTTTGTACATGATGGTGTTAAACGTTTCACGAGTTCTTCTAACGTTAAAGAATCAATCTTAAGTTGATCATAATCTGGTCCAGGTGCCGGAGAACGGTGTCCATCGTTCATCTTCACCTTATCTGCACTCAATAATGGTAACTAAAACAATGTCACACTAACATCTATTACAAGTGATTTTGAGACAGAAGAAACATCATTTGGAACGACAAGCAAATACTTACAAAACTGCCTGCTGTTGGCCTAGTAGAAGACGCTGATACAGGTTGAAAAATGGCTGTGCGCACAAAATATTTGGGATTCGAATATGAAAATGAAATTTCACTCATTTCTGATGGACACGGACTGGCACGATGATTAACAGTACTGGCTTCCGATCGGACATTATCAGGATGGAGTGTGTTCGTCGATGATGTCACAGTGGACATCGAGCATGGTGTTAACCTGCCGGATGATAGACTATCGACACTTGGCGTACGACGAGTATAATCCGAACGTGGACTTGTACGATGTGAACCCGAATCTGTTGGTTGCCAACCTCCGGTAGTCCGGAGAATTTGACCATTCTGTGAGCTATCGTCGTGGAAAAAGACTTTTCGAAGTAGCTTTTCACGTTTTTCTCTTGCAATATGTAGAAAATTGTGTGCACAGGCTGTGACGCCTGTTGATAAATGTTGCGAATCTTGCCGATGCCACTGTTCCATTTTTTTTATGAAGCCGCCTATAAAGAAGAAAATTCAATACATTTCTCTCTTTCTCTCTACTCTCTCTCCCTCTCTCTCTCTCTACTGTCGATTCGGCCTTGTGGTTGAATCAAGGTTCCTTCATTCTTTACTTTTATTATACGTCGAATGTGTATACAATGATTTAAGTCAAAAATTTGAACACAGATGAAGTTAAATAAATAAAAATCATTGTCTCCCTTATGTAATCGGTGACTCTGTTACCACGATAAAACACCTGGGATATATTTTTTTATCAAGTTCTGATAATAGCCTTTTAATTCATCCAAATCCGGCAAAGCCTCATCATCTTTGGTGTACAGGTCAAACTTTTGAAACTTTTGCACCAGTTTTAACATTTGAAGATCTTTCTCATTGCACAAATACATATAAGCACCGTTTGTATGCCATGGATAAAATGAGTGATAACGAATGATATAAAAAGCTTCATCCGGTAGCGTACACTGTTGATGATTTTTCAATACACGGTACAAATATTCATCGTGACCCCATGACATCATAACATTTTCTAGTCCACAGTTTGGCGTGTATATTCCATATTGACTTGAATAAAGTGGTTTTTTGATGTCGGGATTATCCTTGAACGTTGTTGAACTATAAACGATTTCATCGCTAAAGCGACATCCAACAGGGAACGTATCGCCGACAGTACTCCACTGTGGCTCACCATACAATGCCATTATTTTGCCGACATCGTGTATTAAACCAACTAAATGAAACCAGTCATCATTCGGGTACTGTTTGCGTATTGATTCAGCTGTTTGAAATGCATGATAAACATTAGGTACATCCACATCTGGATCACTTTCATCGACAATTGTTGACAATTGTTCCAGAGCATCATAAACAGACATTTGAGCATGATTGAATTTTAACCAAACATCATATCGTTGCTTTACATAATCAACACATTGATGTGTGTGCATAGACAAATACGTGTTATAAACACGTGCCGCTATTGGATCAATTTTATCGGTTATTTCCACAAAATTACGAAACTTTTTCTCTGTGTCAACGTCTGTTAATGGAATTGGATTAGATAATGACATTTCTGCACTTTCGCTTATTAAAATGACGAATACTCTCCTAGCCCGATGTAAAGAATATCTAGTTGTTTTTCACTTTCGTATCTTTTTATACATTAAATTTAAATTTGTTTTTATTCGAAGAGATAAGGAGAAAGAAAAACAACTGATAAAAACAATTCAATTATATGACGAGTGTACGATTATTGCGTATTTCATATCTCTGTTCGTCAGATGCAGCAGAATCAGAGGTGAATAGTCAGTTCGGCATAGACTAAAAGCACTCTATTTACGATGTGATAACTAAAGTGAGCTTTCTCTTTCCCTTTTGCTTCCTTTCTCCTTTTAAGCTCATTATACGTTCTTTTTTATACATTTTAAGGCGCACATATGGCGAAACCCGCTTGCGCAATCGTACTTTTTTCTTTTTCAATAAAAAGCTTAAATAAAATAAAAATGGCAGTTTATAATTCAGCTGATGATTTCCCAGTACAGTTTTCTCTTGCCTCTCTCTCTTTGGGGTGAAGAAGTGCTCCCACAAAGTACAGATTGTGGACAGACAATCAAAGTAGAATAAGGCGACAGAATAAGAAGCAATGTGGCTCAGTCGGCAGACAACGTACTTCAAAGATACGAAGTTCGAATTCAGGCAACGGCGGTCGCATGATAGTCTTGGACAAGCTATTTAATGTGTTTATTGTCTCGGTACCTTTGGGCACAGATGCGATGGAGTAACTCGATTTCAGTGGCCATTGAATTGGAGAGATGAGAATTAAAGTTTAAAAAAAAACTGAGACGACATACTTTCCCTGCTGATAACTTGAGTTATCCACACGAACAAAATAGTTGAGATTGTCGTGTGGAGGTAAAACTGCTTATTTGCTGTTGTTGTTATTATTTCTTTCACTTACCGCAATGTATATCAATCTGATACCTATTTACATGGGCATGGTGTGTGTGTGTCTGTAAATATGTATTTTAAAGACGCATAGTGATGTATACTTTTATTTTGTTACAGGTGTATTTTTTCATTCTGTTGACGTTGTTCAATTAAATACGTACAACTATATCTATGCGCACATCGTAGTATCTGTCTTTGTCCTTGACAAACGATTTTGACATTTTTTTTTGTAACCTGTACGTCATGAAAAGTAAAAGAAATGTGAACTGTGACATGCACACAAGAAGGAAGAGAAGATAAATAGGATTAATCGTATAGATATAGATATTTTCCTACGATTCATTGCTATGGTTCTACACGAACGCGAAAGAAAGACAGGAAAAAGAGTCGAAACAATAATGATTGTGATCCTTAATATTTAAGTCTTTCATCCATCTTTCTAAAGTGAAGAGTAACCCAGTACATCTGCCTCGGGGGTTTGAGACTACAATATATTTCTAGTTAAACGATCATATTTCGTAAACACATTTTATTTCGACTCTTATTTTTGTTCTCAATAAGTCTTCGCAGTGAACAAAGCGTCTCATTCGGCGATATAGACTGCATCAAAATCGTAGAAAAACATGTGAAAGTTTACCTATTATCTTGTTGTAAGCAGTTGTTGAATCTTGTTACCTTGAAGCAGTAATTGAAGAGGAAACTAATATCATCTAGAGATGTATCTTATCTGAAAATGTGCATAATTGCTCGTTACATTATATCTCTCATCGTCTAATCTTCTCCACCTACAACAACTCATTTTGTTGAATATTTTTCTTCACTTTTTTTTCGTGATTAAACTACATAAGAATGTTTGTATTCGAGAGAAAAAACAAAACAAACTTTGTATTATATCTGTTGCACGAGACATAGTTAAACCCCAAATTAAATAAGAAAGCAAAGCAGGTACACTTGTCTCGACATGCACACACAAATAGCTTGAGAATTGGTAAACAGTGTGTTTATACTTCTTGTCATCTATTTGATTGATGAGAAATCTGACAAAATGTCCATATAGTTTTTAACTGTAAGTGAAGAAAGGAAAATGGTTGATTGTTGTTTACCAAGTAATTAACTGACACAATAGCATTAAATACTCACTATACAGTAGTAGTGCGTAATTTAAGTCTAGAAGAATTTCGTAAAAGCAAAAAAGGTTAGAGCTTTGGATGAACAAAAATTATAAGGTTAATTTGGCTTCAAAACGGCATATTTCCATTGTCTAGGATGCGATATTGATGCGAAAAATTTCCACTAAATCCATTATCAGTTTCTGCACCGTGGTTTTTTTGTTTGAACACGGAAATGTGTCTGTTAAATGAAATATTCATCGCTGGGTTCTGTCATTCATGGCTTCTTGCCGAGTGTAAAATATGATCAATTTTTCGACAATATCCAGTCAGGAATTGAATAGTAAAATATGTTTCATCATTTTCATAGAAACTATTACGTGTGTCAATGTATACATGCTCATGTGATTGACTTTTTCTTTAATTTTAAAAATAGTGTGTTAAGTGGAAGTGTTGAATATAACCATCGCCAGAATAAGAGAATATCCTTTTATACGAATAATAGATAAATGTAATTATAGCGATTAATAAAGCTGTAGAATGTCTGTGAGATGTTCCCACATTACACATTTCTTTCGCACACATGCAAAATCTTCCTTGTGTAAAGGCAGACGAATGTGTATGCTTGTAACAAACGTCAATTTTGCTTAAACGATATAGCAAGTAATCATTCACACAACCACGTCGAACGAAAACACCGCCATCAGTCAAATTATCATAATGTAAAAATTTTACACAATAATCCGCACATTCAAGAGTCCGATTTGCTTGTCTCATGTCAAATGGATCCCGACAATAATCATCGGTACGCGAATCACATTGATAACAAAGAAATTTTGATATCGTACATGTTTCTTTAGCAAAACTGATTAATACAGAACGGATATTAAATAAAAATGACAAATAAATGGATGACGACATCTAAAGTATAAAAATAATACGGCATAATAGCAAATAATTTTTATTGACTACGAGTAACTTACGAGGTTCATCTTGCTCTTCGATGCGAATTGTTGTCGGTAGATATTCGAATGGTGTACATTGATGAACGTAGTGATAATTTTAATAACACTTAGAAAATCTCTTGCTACAATTATCTGAAAAGAAACAGTTCGTACCGTGACGATTATGCATGAGAGAATAGAATACGTCATGTATAAAAAACTTTCTCATTTAGTGGTATGTAATGTTTATCTCTGGTTTAATGTTAGTTTGATGCCAGTACATACTTTTCTGCATAACTGAAAGAATTGTTGTAAAAATATTTTCGATTAATACTAAACGAATTGAGAATTAAATACTAAATATTTCTGGTTTTGCTATTGTTTTTTCACCCTGTATATCTCTTCTTCATACGCACAGACAGACATTGTAGTTGATAGTTTCTATTCGATGGTAAATAAGTTATAATGTCTTATGGTTTGTCAGATAAAAGGGCTGTAACCTGTTGAAGATCAATGATAGAAAGATGGCTTTATTTTCATAGAATATGAGAGTTATTCTTACATATTTTTTACTTTATTACACAAAAAAGGTATATGTTTAGTGTGCGCTAAAGTAAAAAATAATATTCCATGTATGTTTGAAGAAAAAAAGTACAAAATTACATATTAGGTATATAGTCAAGACGGAAATGCCATATTCTATTTCAAACGCTCAAGTTTTCAACGAAAAGTATCATATTTTTACTAATATGTGAGTCTGCTCTGTCAACTCTTAATAAAGAAATTGCGTGATAACTGCTAAAAAAAGGGAAATAAAAAAATTTCCGCTTTTTCCAATAAATAATATCTCGACACAGCGTGAGTATAATCAAGTGACGACTATAGACAAAGAAAAAACAAATTGGCGTTAAATTGAATACCGAATCTTCTAGTTTTCTCCATTTTACCATAGTACAATAATTTTGAGATTATTCTCAAAAAAAGAAATCTTCATTCTAGTCTAATCTCAAATATAAAAATTTCTCAACTACAAAATAATAATGAGTTGTGTTTTACTGCACATAATTTTACCTGTATATTTAATTTCTTTTAATAAATTGTCTTTGGAAACTAATATTAAAAAATGTTATATTAATCTTATCTCCTTTGAAATATGATCGCCTCTCATTTCTCTTGCTGGAAATATATGTATCTCTGGATGAATAGTTAGATTTACAAAGATAATGCAAAAAACCGACTAGTAGTTGATGTTCTCTATGCACTCGTATAATCAATGAAAATAAGAAAACGATGATGATGATGATTTTCTTTCTTTCATTTTTTTTTTTTTATCATAACAATAACGATACTTATTTTCCTTCTTTTGTTGTGGCCACCATATTTTATGTGCAAATTAGTTTTTCAATAGACGATTACGATAATAATAGATAATCTAACATATAGTTTTACTGCCATTGTATTTGACAAATTGATGATAATGGATTCTATCCATCTACAAACGGTTATTGTCAAACACATAGGACACAAATCACGGATGCGGGAAAGAAGAAAAAAACAACAACAATATTTAATTTGACGTTGAACGATTGGATCTGTTGTGTGTGCAGCGGTGCATCAACTTCTTTTTTCACGCTTTCATCACATTTATAATGAAAATGATGATCTCGCATGTGATATATTATTTGATTCACAAAGACAGACATTAGCTTTTCATTTATGCTTTCATCGACAGTCGTTCAAATAGAAAACAAAAGATTCAAATATACTAGTGATCTCTCTCTTTCTCGCTTTCTCTCTTAACATTTTTTTTGCAATACTCTTGTTTGTGTAGCTTGCATGAATAATCGGTGATGAATCCGATAATTACTTTGTCGTCTATCATCATCCATCACTTGAAGGCATCGAAAAGGAAGAATTGTATTTTATTTTTCTCTCCGATTAAAGCTGTTTGAAAAAAATTTCCATTGATACTATTTTGTGTGTTAAAGTTATTTTTTCTATTAAAAGAAATCGTGATAGTTGTAAGAAAACAAAAAGGGAATAATAATTATTATTAAATAATGTAATAATAAAATGAAATCTACTTAGCAATGCATATTCGCACAGTGCACAAAGACAAAATTAATCAGTCATTTTGATTTATTCAATCAGAATCAAATATTTAACTATTTCAGCCTAATAGTTGATTTGACAGAAATATCGTCCCTCTTGCATGATTTTTATTCATTTAACAACACGAACTTCTCATCCTGCGCATTAGCTACCGCTATAGAAACGGAAAAAATTAAATGAAAATTCGTACGTAGTCATTCAGTATTTGAGTAACTGAAATTTAATTACCTGTTAGTTTGATGTAAATCAGCGATGTGTAAGACATTAAAATTAGAACGTCTGACTGAATATGTTTCTTCTTATTTACTTCTCCGTTCAAAAAGGATATGACTTTAATTATGGTAATACTATATGGACAAGGATTTTTTTTCGCATAACTCTATCTCATATGGCCGAAAGAGATATGGTAGAAGGACGAAATCAAATCTCTACAGTATCAAAACTGGATTGCCCATATAAAGAGCTATCACAAAATTTCGGTTAATCCTTGGTGCAGTTCATACGAGAAGTAATTATAGATCGCACCATTATGATAGTTCATCCTACAGCTATTCCAAAATTAATATCTTCAGAAGAATACCAAAATTTTGTGATCACTTTTTTTCTTTTATATGAGTAATTTGTTTTCGATACTGTGAAGCTTTGATTTTGTCCTTCGCCCTCGGTCCTTCCGGCCATATGGTGCTCATTTTAGTTTAAAAAATCATGCTCAAAACACTACTGTACCAAACTATCTCGTTCTAATCGCTTTGCTTGTTCTATCTTATTAACAAAATATAATTATCTTATGAAGACCATGAATAATGTATGATTATTAATTACAGAATATGAAAAAAAATACCTATTACATCTGTAAAACGTTGTCTGAAGTACATTATTTATATGTGTGGATGTAATACATCAATCGAAGTAGAGTACATTTCCGTAGAGTAATATATGTGCTATTTTTACCTTCTATACTGCTTCTGACTTTTTCGTTTATTCTATCCATTTTTTTTAGACTTTGTTTATGGTAGTAATGATGACGATGAACATAGAATGTCATGAGGTTCCTGACATATTTTTTCCTATAATATTTAATTTTTTTCTCATTTTTCTTTTTTTTTTTTTAACGACACGATTTACATTCTCAGTCTCATATGTGAACGCTAGTAGAGAGATAGAAACAAAACAAGAAAAAAAATACATAAGGTTCGACTTTTATATTGCATAGCGAAGAAAAACAAAACAATGTATAAAAAATGATTTTCTACAGCATACATCAATACATTTACTACAAAATTCATATCTATACACTCAACTTCTTTCAGAGAAAAATTTGCAGCACTTTGTCAAATAAATATTCCTTAGGTTAACATCGTGTTAACACACTTGAGCCACTGAATATAATCGATGAAACGCATTGAACATTTTAAATAAGAAATTACGTGAACAGTTTGATAGAGCAAACATTTTTACGAATTTTAGTGAAAATCAAAGCTCTTCAGTCTGAAAGTGATGGAGGTATTTCAATTTTACCAAAATCCCTTAAAAAATAATGTAACAACCAACTGATACAACCAAATAAACCAACCAAGTTTAATCAAAATTCAATAGCCACGCATGATTAAGCCTTGAAATTTCCAACATAAATACTCTAAAGTGTTCACCACAAGTCATGCATTTGCAAGATGATCTTGTTGTATATGGCACGTGTTGCGTCACGAGCTCGTCTCTCGAGCTTTGACCGACCACATTCCACTATTACCGCTCAAAATACTATCAATTTCTGTGGCAGTTTGTGAACTTCGGTTGAGCTTTGAGCCATATTTAGAATCGATATTAAACATTGAGCACAGAAATGTCTTTCTTGCTAAAGCGCTGAAATATTTGTTTCCCTTGAAATTTTGCCTTTGGCGAAAGTCATAAGTCGTTAAATATTGACCATAATCGGATTATTGTTCTCAAAAAGAAAATTATTTTTATCCCAGTTATCAAAATGTGGTTCATTGAATACTGAAATCGATTTGAAAAAAAACATGTTTTCAGCAACTGAGTGTAGTTTTAACAATATTTACTCTTTCTAGGGTCACAGTTGATTGCCTCAACCGCTTCGACTGATATTCAACGAAAATCAATGTTTTGTCTTAGTTTTTAAATTATTTTATTAATCCGACTTGACAGAAACAATATCTTGTTTTAAGCCTTGTAAACAGAATATAACAATTTATTAGATAATTATGAGATTTTTTCTCAGTTTTAATAACATATTAAAGAAAACCAAAATAAATGCATAACGCAACAAGAAAAAAAAGAAAAGTAAAATAAAAACAAAAACTTATCACAAATAACAGCAAATTCGACATTGCCCTAATCAGTTTAAGAGACAAATGCAGGCTTTCCGGTTGTTCTTAGAGATGCGAGGGCCTAAAAATGTTAAAAATTAAAAAAGAAAAGAAAGGATAGTAGCTGGCGAAAAAAATTTTTCGAAATTTTTGGCAGAAAGTTGTTGGTGGAAAAACGTCAAAGATTTTGCCAAAAAGTCTAAGCATTTTTTCAGGGAGAGGCGAGCACTCCCTGTCCTCTCCTCCTGATCGCCTCTCATACACGGCAAACGTTACCTTATTGGTAAGACTCGCGCTAGAATCATAAGATATCTCTCACCTTTATTTTGATATCAGACTTTGAATGATAGGGGACAGAAAACTTGATCCGAGATGAAAATTTCTTTTATTAAAGTTATCACAGCTCACTATTAATGTTTTAGAAATAGAGTAAAGAAGATAGTTCAACATCGCGATAGAAATACGCCGGTAGGATTTAAACGAGGGACTAAGATCTTCAAAATTGCTGTGCACTCACTCACTCACTTTGAATCCGTATAAGTTCTTCAGTAAAAATGTCTTCTTTTACCATCTTTAGATAGAAATTGTGGGGTAAGGCATTGTAGGATCGATGTAAACTTCAAAATTTCTAACTCTCATCTACACTCTAAAAAAGAGGACTTCTTCAGAAAACTGAAAGTGTGTTTTTCATTTGTCTCACTCAAATAGGGATCTGGTGTGAGTTTTCTGAAAATTTACAAAACTGATTTTTTCATTTTTCGGAACAGCAGAAATTGAGTTCTTCATTTTTTTAGATCCCTATTTGGGACATTTGTTTTCCAGAAAATATCAGGTCGAAAAACACATTTTTGTTCTTTAACTTTTTCAAAAATCTGAATCTTAATTTCTTTTTCCACCAGTCAACTTTTTTTAATCAATACGATATCTATGATCATATGTAGAATTATTCTTGTATTCAGTATAAATATTGACAACTGGAAACCTGCACAAATAGAGAAAACTATGTAACCCACATTCTAACTCGACCGTTATTTGGAATCTCATTCGACCCGAGTCGAATCAGGTTCCAAACATCGTAGGTACTCGACTCGTTGGATTCGAGTCGAATTTTAGAACTCTATTGCCAAGAACAAACATGTTCTCGAAGTGTGCACATTGTTATACACAAATAGAACTTTTTGAGAATAAGTTTAAGCTTCTGTAAGAAACGATCATGTCCTTTATATATATTAGGAATCGAAAAACGAAAGCGGTGATTGAAATATGTGATTTTCTTTTCCTTTTTCAACTTCGAGATCTTCAGAGAACTGAAAAAAAATATTATTTTCCACATCTTGAAAAACAAAATTTCTGAAAAACCGAATTAAGTAAATGAATTTTTGACCAAGATATATTCCCGTCAGAAAAATAAAAAATGAGTGTACAGGTCCTAAATTGTACTGAGTCGAACATTCTTACTGGAATATATCTTTGTCAGAATTTAATAACACATAGCAGAATTCAGTGACATAGACCAGAATTTAGGGTTCCAAACTCTGGTGTTTACAACCGATCCTACTTTAACACGATATCTATAGCACATCCCAGCACAATGGATTCCACTTTAATGCTGCGTTCTATTGGCATACTGGAAGAATGGGTTTCACTCTAATGCTGCATGCATAGTGCATCCCACCACAACGGATTCTCATGGGATGCGGCATCCTAGTGTAACGGATTCCAATACGATGCATCCTCCTCCTAGTATTCTGAAAATTTTGGATTCCATGTTGATGCAGTATTCTTATGGCGTTTTAGAGCAATGGATTTCAGTATGGTACGGCAAGCCTTTCGCAGCATTCAAAATTTTCTTTATTATGGCACCCCTGCGCAGCGATGCCAAATCGAAAAGTGCTGGCAAGAGTGTGGTAGATCCTGCGCAGGATCTCTGCTAGGTTTTATTTTTAGGGTGCCGCACCCATTTTTTTTAATAGGGCAATGATTCACGTGATCGTTTTGTATTTTAAGTCTTGCAAAAGAAATTTTTACTGCCACTTATTCAGCATCAGTATGCATATCTTGTTTTAAGTATAGTAAACAGAATACAACAGTTTATTAGGTAACTATTAGATTTTTTCTCAGTTTTAATAACATATTAACCAAGAACAAAATAAATGCATAGTGTAACAAGAAAAAAAGAAAAAGTAAAATAAGAACAAAAACTTATCACATATCACAGATAACGCCAAATTCGACATCGTCCTAATCACTTTAAGAAATAGATGCAGGCACAAGAGCTGTTGTACAGTTACAATGTCTGGATCTTTGATAGAAAAATACGGAAACTAGAACACTCTGTACTAGGTAACACACTAGGTAACTATCAGATTTCTTCTCAGATTTAATAACATATTAAACAAAAAGAAAATAAAAGCATAACTTAACAAGAAAAAAAGAAAAAGTAAAAGACGAACAAAAACTTATCACGTATCACAGATAACACCAAATTCGACATCGTGCTAATCAGTATAAGAGATAGATGCAGGCACAAGAGCAGTTGTACAGTTACAATGTCTAGGCCTTTAATAGAAAAATACGAAAACGAAAACATTGTACTACCACACCTCACCATTTCGACTTCTTTCAATTTCTCGCTTTTTTGTCACAAAGTGAAAGGTAATAATATGTGTTTACAACATTTTACATTCTTTACCAAGTTTTTTAAGTAACTATCAGATCACTTCTCAGATTTAATAGCATATTAAACAAAAACAAAAACAAAATAAATGCATAACTTAACAAGAAAAAAAGTAAATGTAAAATAAGAACAAAAATCTATCACGTATCACAAATAACGACAAATTCGACATTGTCTTATATAGTATTCGAAAATAAAGTAGAATAAAAAGAAAACAGACTAAAAAATTAGTTGAGAAAGATCTATAAAATAAAACATGATATAGAAAATTTTACGTTCATCATTATCGTATTTTTATTCGATAAGTTACAATCTCGGCAACAGGTATAACTAATTTTGATGTTATATCAACCTTTTCTTCGGTATGACGTAAAGTTAAAGATGTTTTATCAATTCTATCAATTTGTTCCGATTTAAAAATATTTTCAAATTTAATCTAAACATACAACGAATATAATAGTATTAATAAATTAAATTAGAGGTATAGAATCTGCACCTCTAATTCAACTTTTCACATAGGCATCAACTGAGATCCCATATATGATTCTTTCGTTAAGACGTGTTTTTTTGTTACTTACTGCATTGAATTGATAAAATTTATCGTAGTCCTGAATACAATCATACGAAAATTTTCTTAAAATAAATGCCATACTGTCTGATACATGAAATTTTTCACTGTTTATATTATCATTTAATGTACGAAAATTAACAAGATGGACATCACCAGGTAATGAAAAATCATTTGAAAATAAATGTATTCTTCTTGATAAGGGTTCAGAAGAATCTTTTATCATTTGTAAAGTATGCATTGGATACAATAACTGCATTGATAAATGATGTGCAAGTAACGATGGATAACCAGTAAGAGAATTCTTATCAACACTCTAGATAAAATTAACATAAGAATGAGTCTTAAGAATATAGTATTTTCTTTTTTTCTCATACCAATGTATCTTTACGGTTTTCAATAAGAATTTTAAAAACACTAACTATTTCTCGATTATCCAGAACGCCTTGACCTAAACCACGACCATCATCCCTCAACAAACGACGATCGAGAAATACATCCAGAAGTCCTTCAAAGCAAAAACGAATGATAAAATGATAGATCATGATTAGATGTTAAAATGTTACTTACCCGTATTCAGACTTGCAACTCCACATGGTTGAGCTGAAATGATTGTCATACGTAGTTGATTATCTTGAATAAAGGACATTGCTGACATCGGATAAACATTGGCTTGTAACGGTAGTTTTTTGTATGTTTTACGACGAATCATCTATAAACAAAAATGAAGATGATCACATCATAATTAATAACAAAGAAGAGTAAGAGATGTATTGTTGTCATGTACTGTTCACAAATAATTAAATTTTTGTCTGAGAAACGACAATTGATAATTAAAACGTTTCATATAAATGTTGGCAAGAAACATTTCTAATATATTTAGTCAATCAAATTCATTGAAAATCTATGATAATCTTACTTGAAAACCATTTAAATCGGTGAAAAATACTTGATCATTTTTAATATTTGTTGAAAAACGTAGTGCGAGTTCAATATCTCGATCAATTGTTAAAAACGTTGTAGCACCTACTTCAAGAATTCGCCCATCCAAACCTTCATAAATAGAAAATAAAAGAAAGTTAAAAGATCAATATAATTTCATCAAATACATTACCATTTATATTTGCTAATTTATATTGAAGACCATAAAGTTCATGTAAAACATCCACACGACTCACTAAATTTCCATGTTGAACACGAACAATTATATTTTTTGAACTTGCTGGCACTTCCTTAACAGAAAACATGATATTATTATAAATAAAATAGTAAAAAAACATATAAGCTTACTTGTCCAGGACCATCGGGTAAAAATAAGTAAGCACCACTGTTTGAAGATGGATTTGTTCCATAACGAATGACATTGACATTAAATCTCATTTTTTCCTGTAGTTGTTGAATACTAAGCAATACACCATGTTTGGAAAACTTACAAGTCAAATAATCATTTTCAATTTTAATCACTTTTCCTGTTGATGATGTCAATTGAAACGGACTAATCGATGCTGGTATATTTTTCTCATCAGTATATTCAAGTTTTGACATTGGACATGGATTATCGTTTGTATATTGAATAATGTATGATTTTATTGTATATGGTTCAATATCAACAAGAAATAAAAGCTATAAATCAAAATATACTATTTTAATCTATTATAAGATCTAAAATTAACAATAAAATACTTCGAATTGATTTGATATAAAATCATTTGAGCGTTTTCCTGCCCATTTTGGATCAATTTGACATCGAATGGGAGTAACTGAGGTGGCTGATATTCGATATGATACTCGAATATTGTAGTCATCAATTATTACTTTAACAATTTCTATACGACGTTGATCTGTTGGATTGAAAATATGTAAAGTTCTGAAATACAACCCATAACAAAAAAGATTCACTCATTTCATTGTTATTTGTGTATGATTTACTTTAGATCAGTTTTCATTGTAATTAATTTTCTCTGGGGTAGTGTGTCATATCTATCCATCCAACTATCCATTGTCAACAAATTTTGATTTGTTGAATATGAATAAGATTTATCTAATATCAGAAATGAAACTGATTCTTCAATTATTCGATAACATGAACGAATAGCTGCCAATAGTCTAAAACAAGAAGGTTGTTTTATCTATCTGGAAGACAAAATGTACTGTTCCAATGTCACTTACTTTTTTCCATAATCATTGACCACAGGATATCTAGCTGTTCCCGTTATACCATCATGATGTTGAAACAATGCTAAATTTCGTCTGGCTGTTGATAACATCGTGTAGAATCTGTCTTTTGGAAAATGTTCTTCATCTATTTTATGTTCAGATGTTTTCAAATTAACAACAGCAAATAGAATTTCTGTTGCTCTTGAAAAAAAAAACATTTAATCATACGAGGAACAAAGGCAAAAAAATGATGTTGTTTTTTCTTCTAGTGTCTAACCTTAAATAAGATTCAACAATTCGATCTAAACGTTTGAAAAATGACCTTGATGTATAATATCCACTCCAATAATGATCATTTCTATCAGCGTACGTAAAAAAGTCGCCAGCATAAGAAGGAAATTCTGTTTTTTTCTTCGATAATTGAAGTTGTTCAAAATAATTGCTGAGTGTACCATACTGAGCCTAAAATCTTTCAAAATAACAGCAATTGATCTTTACATTTTTTTTAATTTCTTATTTTAATAAAACTTACATCCACATGCCAATCTGTTCGATTATTCATATAATTAAATAATTTATCGTAATTATTAAATTGTTGCGCCGCCTCATTTGCACCAACATAACGAAAATCATCACCTAATGGTATGAATAATACATTTGTTTCATACAATTGAGATTTTTTTCGATATTGGTCAAGTAATAGTGAAGCACTAAAATGAAATTGTTTTAGATAAATTTTAAAATAAAAATTAACAAAACACTTTACCGTTCTTCAACGTTGCTCTTTGTAATTTTCACGGGTGGTACACCCCATGGACATGCTATATCAGAGATAAGCTCTCGTTTGAAATCAAATTGACAACATACTTTTGGATCTGGACCACATGTATGCGGAATATCGTACGAAAAAAATGGCATGACATGACATAAGATATCTGTACTAGAAGAGCGATCCCACGCTTGTCTCCATAAAAATTCTAACTTTTTCTCCTTTGCCATAGCTTTTTTTAGATGATAATGAACACGTTGAATCGCCATATGTTGAATTCCTGTACGTTGAAGAAGATATGCCATTGTTGGACTATAACCAAACGGATCATTTGCCCAAGCACTTTTTAACTTAACTTCACCTTAAATTATATCAAGATTTTTATTATTATACAGATAAATGACTTTTTAATCATGCTCTTTTAGCATAAACATACCTATATGATTATCAATCCATTGATGACCTTCGATTAACTGATTTAACATTGCATAGTAATGAGTGTTTGCTTCATCATTCATTACCCATCCTCCTGTAACAATTTCTAATTGTCCATTGTTAATTAATTTTTTGCATAATTCACGTTTGTCAATAGATGCTTGTTCCCACCATAAATTTAAATAAGATATTTCAGCCCAAACAAATTTATATTTTGAGTTTGATGATAAAGCTGTTAAGATTGTATCGATAATAGATTTTGTTGCACGACCAAAATATTCTTCAAATGTGTACAGCCAACCAGGATCACAATGACTATGTGGCATTAAAATAACTTTTAATTTATTATCTTGACTCCATTGAGATTCTTTATAGGTTATAGCAAATCCTTGTTTCCACACACCACCATCGACATCATCAAATGGTAATGTTTCATATAACTGACGTATCTATAATAAAAAAAGTGTTATTAGTCTAATTTATAAGTTCAGAAAATAAAGTCTACCTCAAATGTCGTGTTTAACGGTGATGAAGCACGCCATGCGCATTGAGGATTATCTTCTGCTGTTTCATTAATATTTTCATGCCATTTTTTGTCCGTTTCATGATCAATATATTTTATTTTAGACTTATTTATCAACACATCTGGTTCTATATTCACTTTTGATAGTTGTTGTTGTTGTTGTTTGTGCTTATTATTATCAAAATCTTTAACAGATAGTTGTAACTGGCGTATAGTATCTTCTAATTCATTTAATTGCTCGATGGACTTTGAAGATATCTAAAGGAATAATACCAGTCAAGTATTCTTCTATTTACTAAAGAGAAATAATTCGAATTACGCTTGATTGATATCAAGATTATGTCGTTATGGAAACTACTCATTAGATGAGCGGCTTCTATAACTAGAGAAATAGAAAATATATTTCATGAAAGTTGTTTAGATTAAGTTATAAACACATACAACTGTTGAATCACCCAATATTTTCAGATAAACATACTTGGTTATCAATTCGACCCGTCTGTAACATTATATACATCAGAAACACAATGAACATGAAAAGCACTAATATGATTAATCGGAATAAACGTCGGATAGCCATCTAAAACAAACAAAGTTTGATAGAATAACAGTGAAAATATATATCTGTTGAATTGACGATCTCTTTTTTTAAATCATGTCAAATAATCTGCAGATCGTTAGCTAGCAATATAATAGGAATCTAACAAATAAGACAATATCTCTTGCAATGAACATCCCCTGGTAAAAATCTTAGACACTTCTTAAAATTATCTTACTAAGATCTTATCCTTTAAGATTTTACTAAGATTTAATGACTCTATTTTCATTCACCCCTTGGTTTTGCTCTCATTCATCTATATAAGTAACCGAAAATATGAGTGATTATAGGTTATTTTTCTTCCAGACTCTGCTAGTACTTGCTCTCTCGAAAGTGTTCAACAACTTTTTAGAGAGTGCACATGCAGGTCAAGGTCCATAGATGGACGCCCGAAAATAGAAAATTTCTCTTCATTCTTCAACACTGTTCAACTGCTGCTTTAGATTATGTGGATTAAAACTTGAAAAATTTTCAGTGAATCTCGAATGAATATTATTCAAAAAGCGTTATCGTTCTTACTATTAAGATCCTAAAACATTCTTATCCAATCTTGAAAAGTCTCAGATAGTATAATCTTAGTAAGATTACGCTTACATTTGTCTAAGATCTTAGAGAAATAGTATAAAATCTTAGAATTTTCGGATCTCATGATCTTAATAAGATTTGTTTAAGATCTTAGTAAGATTCGAGTAAGTTTTTCACTAGGGTTGCTCCCACATCTGACACAACAGTCAAAGCAGATATAACTCAGTCAGAGGATGTAGACAACAGGAGACATTTGTCACATATGACATCGAGCAAACAGCACATGCGAAAAAAGATATTGTTTATTTGTTTGGTTTCTAATATACTTGAACAGAGCTTTTTTTTTCATTTTAGTGTGTCGTACTTTAGTGAATCTTATTTGGATGCGTTTTCAGTTACACAACTCATTCCTCAAAATATTTTGAAACCTTTGAAGTGTTTCCGTCACCACTGTTTGAGATTAATTCTAAGTGGTTAGTAATCTTTTATCGTAAAAGGAGAAATAGCGCAGCTTACAATATTTTTGAACAGCATCATCCACATACTCTTGCTGCAAACCGATATCTTGACGATTATGCTACGAGAATAATCCACGAGAATAATTCTTTTTGATGGCGTTCAATTTTATAACTATATCCTTCAAATTGAGCTGCTGGTTTACTATGGTCTGTTTCGGATATTTCAACTTTAGCCATATTTCTTGACAAGTGAGACACTTCACTTGTACGCTTGGGGTAAATAGAGACACTCCATTCAAATATATGGAGTTTTAATGTACAATTGCTGCTGAATTAAGCTTAGGAGATAATTAGTTCAAAAATACCTCATTTTATAGCCCGGATCTTCCTCTCTCTATCGTATAGTTTTGAGCTCATTATCATTTAAACGCAGTAAGCTAATTAGCATATAATCGCAAGCACTAGAAATCTTCTGTTTTCCTTTTTTATGGTTTGGAGTAAATAAAGACACTCCACTGAAATACACTGGATTATCAGAGACAAACCTCTACCGTCTCTCAGAAGTCGATTTTAGTATTATACCAAATGATAAAGTACATATGTGGTATTTTTGAACTAATTATCTCCTAAGCTTAATTCAGCAGCAATTGTACATTAAAACTCCATATATTTGAATGGAGTGTCTCTATTTACCCCAAGCTTACAAGTGAAGTGTCTCTAATTACCTCGTACGGGGTAATTAGAGACACTTTGATGGAGCTCTTCGCATTTTGGAACTGACTCAAAATTGGCCGGCGATTTTCAAAAGATTTTTACATGAGTGTGTAGAAAAATGTTCGGTCTACCACCGTGTTCAATAACAAGTTTTTTCGACCAAAAACGGCCGAGAAATAGCAGAAAAAGGATGAAAATTTCAAAAAGTGTCTCTAATTATCCCGAAGTACTCTATCTGTGATCGAAAAACTTTTCTTTTAACTTGCATTCAATCGAACTCGTATAACAGTCACCGTTTCTTTTTACGTCGTCTGATCTATTCTTTTCTAAGTCAAGAAATATGGCTAAAGTTGGAATATCCGAAACAGACCATAGTAATACAGCAGCTCAATTTGAAGGATTTAGTTATAGAATTGAACGCCACCAAAAAGAATTATTCTCGTGGAAACGTCGAGAACAGAGTTGTCTTGATCGTCTTAACATTCTTAAAGATTATACAAAACCAGATTTTAGTAAGTAACGCTTATTATAATGATAACAGAGCTTAAATCTATAAAACGCACGTCTTCTTAAAGGAGTCCCACATTCACACGACTGAGACCCAAGATAAAAAAGGAAGGAATCACCGCCACCGACATCGTTACGAAAACTTTGTATTCCGGATAAATAGAAAATTGTGTAGAGAAAATTTCTTATAAGGTCAAAGTTCGGGTAAGAGAAAATCTTTCCATATCAATCAGGCCTTATAGCATAATCGTCAAGATGTCGGTTTGCAGCAAGAGTATGTGGATGATGCTGTTCAAAAATATTGTAAGCTGCGCTATTTCTCCTTTTACGATAAAAGATTACTAACCACTTAGAATTAATCTCAAACAGTGGCGACGGAAACACTTCAAAGGTTTCAAAATATTTTGAGGAATGAGTTGTGTAACTGAAAACGCATCCAAATAAGATTCACTAAAGTACGACACACTAAAATGAGAATGTGCTCAAATGAGACGCACTAAATAAGAACGCACTCAGCTGAGAACGCACTCAGCTGCGAACGCACTCAAATGAGACGCGCTAAACAAATACGCACTAATGCACGTGAGACGCACTCAGGTGAAGCCTCACTACAATGAATTGTACATATTATGTCTTCACAGACATAAATGATGAATGATTTTTAGTAGATTAGTATTTCAGGATCAATAAACTCGATAAACTCTGATTAGCCTGCGTACTACAAGAGAGAACAAGTCGCCTTATCTAAAGATTTTCAAAACAATAGCGCTACCTCACAAACAATTAACTATTCTGCAAAGGTATTCTACTACTTATTTCAGTTTAATCCTTATCAACTCAATCTTTAATAATGCACACAATTAATAACAAGAGACATACAGCATCGATTCGACTATTTCTTCAATCAACAGATGTTGGCGATGAAGGTTGTTTTGTTTTCATTTTACACATAATCGAGGATGTTTCATGCACAAAGTGTGGTCTATATATATTTTCTTAGACAGATAATGTTAACCGTCCCGATATTGATTTGGACGTGCGTGTCTGTCGCTTGATTTTTGCCATTTGATGTTTTTTCTGGGTTTTTATACTCGTTCCACGATTCTATCTTCATATTCTTTTTCTTCACGATAACTACTGCCTACAGATAGCTTTAAGATATTTTCTTGTTGTCGGTTGTTCTAATTGTCTTTCAACCTGTAATAGAAACTCTTAAAAACATAATAAACAACTGTTCTAATAAAAACTTCTTAGTTGATCTTTTTGAATGCTGGAAGTAATTTAATCCTATTTACAATTAAGAGTTGGCCATACTATTTAATTTTTGATCGAATTTGTAAATTGTGATAGATTTCAGATAGGTTTATCCTTTGATAACAGTAAAGGATGATTATCACCCCGACGACAGTATTCATTATCATTTAAAACTTGTTTATGTGATTGATACTTTTTATCATGTTGAAAATAATCGCTTAACGATGAATCGTATGATGACGATAGAGTTTCTTTATTTTCAGTCAAAGGATGAACAATGTCAGATTCCAGGTCATCTAAGCACTAATTGTTATTTTCATGATATAAAGTTTATTAACTAAACTTTTTCTTTCTCTAATCCCTTTTGCACTTCTTCACTTCCGTTACAAATATCAGAATCATTGTTGAATGAAATTTCTGCTTAATTTATATCTATACCAATAATATTCAACCAGCAGAAATTGGATATAAAAAATAGAAAAAAAATAATGCGTATTTTATCTAAAAATAAATAAAATCAGACATTACAGGTTGTACAATTTTATCTTATAAAAAAACGTAGGTTAAAGTACTTTCCCACAAAATCATTGCCATTTTCCTTACAAAATTGCGATTCTATGAAGAAAAAACCAAGATATATATTAAACAATAACAAAGTTTTTATCGGACACTGGCATTTATGTACAATAGATCAAAATGACTTAAAAATATCCGACTTACTATTAATGTTAAGTATCAACTTAGATTTAATTTTTTATTTTTATTTTGTTGTTTTTGCAAAAGAACTAAAGGTATCAAATTTGATTTTTTAACCGCATCCCGCATTTTTTCACGTATTTCTTTTATTGTATTATCAAATGACTCCAGAGAAGCAGAAGAAGAAGAAGATGGTAAGGTGGGACCCTGGGTCGGACCAAGTACCATGGCTTGTCGTTGTACAATTCTATGGTGCTGTTTTACATTTTCTGATAATTGATTCAAATTTTTCCTTGTTTGTTCGATATTGTTATATTTCAATTTCTTTGTCACTGACAAGTTTTGAGATACTGGAGTATATTGTACTTGTATATGAGGAGTAGATAATCGATTTCGACGACGATTAAATGAGGAAAATTTTGTTTCAGGAAAAGAGACGGGTTGCATTGGCCCAATTAATACATTATTTTCATGTCCACTACTGACACGTGACACATATGGAATAACTGTTCCTAAAAAATAATTTGCATTTGGTACGGTTGTTTTCAATCCTCGTTGTCGATGTTTGTCATCAATTTTTAATCGTTTATTTGCGGAGAAAAATGGCGATTGATCATTATTATTAGAATGAGTCCTTTTTCGTTCATACTGTCGACATTTTCGTGCTACTATCATACGTCTTTCATTTAATTTTTCTTTTAAATCATCGTACGTTTCACAATCTGGTGCATAACAAATGTGTAAATTATTTCCCATAAAATTATAATCATCCAAACGTATTTTAGCTATACGAGCTTTATAAATATCTTTAAATTTGACTAATAAACAATCATTAAATTCTTGTTGCTGATTATCATTATCAGCCATCAATGTTGTTTTTTGCTTTGGAATGTATTCATCTAATGGCCAATAATTCTCAATATCACCATAGGCATAAAATAACGGCATCAACTGCTCAAAAACACCACCAACAGATGGAATATTTTGTACGAGTAGATATTTGGACTCTTGTGCTACAGTATAAACTTTGACAGCACGCGCTTTTCGTCCTTCACGATAATGAGCACGTGTCAAACATACTTCATCTTTAATATGATGATCACGAGGTTCCAACATAAACAGGTAGTATCTACAGTAAAAGTAGAACCACATACATTTACTAAAAGATCGAGTGTAGCTTTCTAGTGAATGGTTAGCTAAGATAAAAACTCAGAGATGAAAGAATAATGAAAGGAACTATCCCTCATCGAATATATGTCTTATTTGGTTAGTCATAGAATACCAAAACGAGCACACAACACATTAAAATAATTGAAACTTCTGGTGTATCTAACCATATGATTGCAATATTGTTAAGGGAATACTTTGCAACTACTTTTATTACTTTATTGCATCTTCTAGGTTCTACATAATTTTTAACTGCGGAGGATAAAAAAGATTATAAAAACGTTCTGAATAACAAAAGAAAAAAAAAATGTTAAAATATTTGTACATCGTTTTTCTCAAATACTTAATTTGTACTTTTAAAAGGGAATTATGTTCGTAAGTGAAAACAAAATATTCTGGTAAAAAAAGAATTAAATATTTGAAGCATTTTTCATACTGCACAATTAAACATTTCGACCTACTGAGTTTCTATACCCTGACAAAACTGTCCTGCTTGAATAACAAAAAAAAGAAAGGTACACTGCACAGCACACATGGTGTTGATAATGGTATAAAACGTAAGACTAGCTAGATATTCAAAGCATAACATAAAAATTTGGAAGCAAAAAGACGAGATGACTTTGCTCGCTCATGTATAAAAACGTGTGACTAGAAAATAAAAATAAGCTAAATCAGCACTTTAAAGATACCAGTAATAAACACGTTCTATAAAAGAAAATTTCTGATAAAACGAGAGAAATGCATGAGATTGAAGAATATGGTTCTTCGATTGTGTTCACAACTACTGTAGAAAACAGAAGATAAAAATATTTCAGCATCAAAAGAGAAAGACCAATTACATTATCCAGCATATAATATAGTTAAAAAGGAAGAAGCATCTAAGATGCTTAATGAAAGTTAAGAACCGGCGCAATGCACAATCTCTGATGCAATCCATATCAAAAACATTATGAAGCAGGTAGGGAAAAAACGTATTAGAAGAAAACGACTAGACGAATCGTTGCTGAGTTTTTCATTGGTTTTTTTTATGACAGTTTTATTTTGCATTAATACGTTTCTTTCGTAAAGCATCTAAATTTTGTTTTAATCTTTCAGTGACACGTACACGTGGACCAACGGTATCAAATTGTAAATTCAAACGTAATAATGTATTGTTTTGTGATACAGCATCAGCTATTTCCATTTCCACACGATTGCCTAATACTTGTGATCGCTACAAAAAAATTGATTATTAGACTAAGACGTAAAAGAATCTATAAAAATAAATACTTGATTTGATAAACGTAATTCAATTAATGACTGGTGTTTCAATGTTGCACGAACAATTTCGGCAACAACGGAGCCAGTAAGACGATTTGATTCACCATTAACCGTTTTCAGCGTTGAGTTTGCTTCAATTAATTCGGCTAAAACCTAAAGAAAAAAGAGCTTAAAATTCTTCTCTCTTGTGTTAGACTTTTTTGTACTCACTTTTCCAACACTATCGGGCATTCCGATGTTAGACATTTCAAGGACTTGAACATTTGTATTTGTTTTCAATGCGTTTAATAATTCTTTCATTGTTTCAGTAGGAATTTCCCTAATATTATTGATATTAATACGTTTCAATTCACCATCGTTTGCGTTTGCTTTTTTAATACAATCTTCAACATCTGTTGTGTTGTCAGGTTCATGAGGAACAAGTTTCAATTGTTCACCTTTAGCCGCAGCTTGAATAAAGAAAAAAATTGATGCACTGAACTCAGTGATTTTGTGCGCTTACCATTCCAACCACCAGAGGAAGTAGGTGCATTTGTTGTTAACGCTGCGTGATATTGTACTTGATTTATCAAACCAGTAAAACCAAGAATTGCTAGAAGAAAAATGGAAATAACTAATCAGTTCATCTGATATAACTCTTTGCCATTACTAACCAGCAAGTTCGACAATTTCTGTTTCACTCGCATTTGTCAGGACATCATCCCATTCAGTTGTCATCAATAAATCATCGTCCTCGGTATTCGATTTGACTGTTTCTGGCGGTTGCCATACTTTTCCTATTGAAAGGAAGATTAAAGTTGTACTGAACTGTGCAGAGTTTATCGAAAAACAACAATAACAAACCTTTCTTTTCGCCCGGAACATACTCTTTATGATGTTCCCAATCTTTTTCACTCTTTCCTTGTTCTTCAAGGAAGTTTAACAAACGTGCTCTTTCATACGGACCAGTTGCAGTTTTATTCGTTTGATTCTTGCATCGTTCTGCTGCTGGTAAATATGTATCCTGAAATCAGACAAATAGCAACATTAGTGAAACCAATTGGTAAGGGTCGGTCTTATCTAATACTACTGTATACTGTTTATATTACAAATTATTATAAAGAGAGGTCGTGCATTTGCGAAGTCTCTTATATTTCCAGATGGTGGCTTTGTTTGTTATTAGTTTTTGTTTACTCTTCTCCTCGCCTTTTTCTTATCTAATTATTTTTTCTCGTTATCATGATGAATACGCGACGTAAAACGCATGATTCTCGAATTCCTTTTTTTTACACGATTCGAATTTTGTGACTCACAATCGCCGGCTTTCTGTTCTTACACGGCTGTCGTGAATGATGATGACAACGCTTTACAATGTGATGCATGCGACAATTGGTTTCATATTGCATGCGTGAACGTTTCTCCGATGACATATTCGGTTTTTACAACGCTTGCAGAACAACAAAAATTCTCGAATTGATTTGTACAAAGTGCTGGAGCGACAAATTCGTCGATCGCCTTACACTTCGTTGTCTTCAAACGTTATCTGCTCGAATCGATACGATTGAGCATGAAATGACAAACACTAGCCGTAAGCAGGATCAACTTGCTGATCGCCTCGATGAATTGAATGAAAATCTTAAGCGAGAGAAGCAACGAAAAAGAATCATCATCAGGAAGTAGTCTCCTGTCAAATGCAAAAACGGTAGAGAAGTTTTTTCTCGTTTCGTTCAAGATCATCTTGGTGTCGACATTGGTCCTTCATCTATCAACTCAATGTGGCGATTTAAAACTTCGTCGGCAACAAACGACGATCGTTTGTCATTTTTTTGACTTATCTATTCGTTCGCTAGCCAAGGCGTCTACGATATAAAATTCGCCTGATGAATTTATTGAAAATGTTTACACTGGTAAACACTTGACAAAACAACAGTCTCAACAAGTCTACAACGCTCGTCAACGACGGAATAATCAACAACAAGTTCACTCATCTAGCGACATTAGTAAAAATGGTTCAAATTGCTTTGTCTAATCGTCCTCGAATTAATATCAATAATACTAATCATATCAATGGTAATGATAATAATATTAATTGATAACAAATGCGTTCCAATCGATCGTCTAACAAATATTGATGTGATGCGACTCTAGCCAAACAAAGTGACTTTACATTTTCTCATAAACTTCGTATTTTTATAAAACTGTCTATGTTGTTCCTATTCAGAAAAGGGCGCTCTTGCTAACTATCGTCCTGTCTCTCTTCTTCCCGTTGTTTCTAAAGTGTTTGAGAGTTTGATTTATAATTTTCTTTTTTCTCATCTCTCTAAACATTCTTTTTTTGTAAATAAACTATTTGGTTTTCGCCCTAAATAACAAACTTGCTTCTCATATTATCTTTCGCAGTTTTGACTACCGTTCCTCTACCTCTTTATTTGTGTCTCAACTGTCTCTTTCAAATCTGTCACTTCGTCGTAAATATTGACGGCTTGTACAACTATTCAAAATTTATCATCATCTTAATCCTCGTTCCATTTTCTAACAGTTGATGATCCTCATTATTCGTCGATACGTTGTCATCATTCCAAATATGTACGTATTCCACCTCTTGTCAAGGGTTTTTCTCCACAAACCGTTTCTTCTTCCTTCTTTTATTCAACAGTTACTGACTGGAATAAACTTCCGAAATCAGTCATTCCTTCATCTTCTTTATCATCATTCAAAATAGCTATCTCAGCATCTTTTACAGTAGAACTTAGCCATGTCTACAGTTATAAAAGAAGGTTAGCGCTGTTACCCTCTTGTTACTTTGTTTATCTCTCTTCATACACTAGTTTTTGGTTTCTTTTAAATTTTTCTATTTATAGTTTCTTTTTGTTGTTGTTTGGCTTGAGTCGTTATTATAGGTCGATGACCTTTGATGACTCTCACTCTTCGTGAATAAATTAGTCTTAGTCGTCATCAACTAGCTTCCTCAAGTGCTCGTGAAACCTAAAAAGCGATATATACTTACATCAGGATCAACAAGACTATTCAAAGCATCAAGTTCTTCGGCGGTTAACGCAGATAATAGACTATCAAAGTCTTCCATGTAATTTTCAGTTGATGCTTTTGTAGTCGACATTGTTATTCACGTATGATTCGATCTAATATGGAAAATAAAAACAAATGATTGTTCACACCAAGATAACTTACAGCACGGTATGATACCTTCCTTTCCCAAAAAATCCTCTTAAAGATCTAGACGTTAGAATGTATTTTTGTTACACATTCAAAGTTTCAAAACTGTAGGTTCTAAATCAAAGTAGTTCCACTTTCGATTGCATCAAAAACACATTGTCTATTAGAAGTTGTAGGATCAGTTTCAGATTAATACTCTTACCGCAATTGAAACGGAACTACTGACCTTCAACGTCCTCTAGCTGATATTTCTCTTGTCGCATTGTATAAAAGTTTGGATAGGGGTTAAGACTTGTTGTCGAACGAGAAACTGGCTCTCTTTGCAAGGACTTTCTTCTAACTGTTCCTAATAGGCTTTTCACTTTTTTTGTTACGCTTACATTTCAATTTTCTCAATAGTATTGTACGGCAAATAATGTGTTTAGTCTTGTTTCTCTATGTAGGAAAAAGTCCCTCTTACGTCCTCCGTTTCTCTAAGTTTGTTCCATTTATTTTATTATTTAGTTGGCATCTCTGGTGTACGCTCTTTATTACTATAAAACACTAAATATCTCGACAATTGTAATCTCTATAGAAATAATGAAAACAGGAGATAAAATCCCATATTATCTGTGTGTAAATTTCAAATTTTCATCCAATGTATTTGTGACACGAAACCCCGCAAAGGTGCACAGAATCTGATAACGATAAGTCATCATGACCTACGACTATATAGATACCGCGATCTGTTTCCTGAATATTCTTAAGATGTCAACTTAATCTTGATTAAAAATTTCTTGTATTTCATGAAAAGTCTTAAGAATCGACTTAAGTTTGTCTTAGTTTCATAAAATGTGATCTTAAGTTCAACATTGATTCAAGACATCTTCAAAGCTGTCTTGAATTAACGCTACAGAAGTACGAACTAATACAAACTTAACCTTCCAAGTGTTTTACAGGAGAGTTGTATGTCTATGTCACAATCTAAGTTCGTTGAGCCATTGAAAAAGCGTATCCTGAGCCACCTAATGGCTGACCTTAAGCTGTTGCAGTCGCGCGCGACATCACTGTTGGTTCCGCGGAATCAGCAGTGCATATCACATGGAAAAATGGCCGTCAGATAGATACTCCATGGACTAACCAATTATAAAATAGAATGAGGAAACGATAACTGGATTTTAAATATTTCGAGGATATGTAGGAGATAATTAACTGAGTGGTAGACGCCATGCCAGGCATGTTTAAAGTCTACCAAAATTAAAGAGAAAAAGAGGATGAAGGAGAGGACACCACTATACGGTGCTTTATGTGTTGTAATCCAAAAAATGTCTCAGATTAGTGAAAAGTGCTAAATGCTCGAATTATCACTAAGTAACTTCACCTAAACAGATAGCTAACATTAAGTATCTATGTGCAGTAGTCTTGGGAGACTGAGAGTTTTCAAAAAAATTTGGGATCCAACCGCCCAGATGAGCCACAATACCTTGCAAGATCTGATATTTTCTTGTAAAATCTTGTAATAAGATCTTACGATGTGATCTTACAAGATCTGGTTATAAGATAATGCAAGAGCTTATGGAATCTTGTAACTTACAAGATCTGATTAAAAGAAGTGACAAGATCTTGTAAGATCTCATGACAAGAATTCATATGATCTTGTAAGATCTTATATAACCTTGTGACACGAAAATATATAGAAGTCAAGAATGTGTGCCACAAGATTTTGTAAAATCTTACAAGATCTCATAAGATTGATGACATTTCTATCACATAAATTTTGTAACGATACCCAAGTCAAAAAATCAGATCAAGATCTTACACGATCTTGTAAAATCTTACGGGAAATCATAGAAACGGATTCATCTTATAAAATCTTATAAAAATCATACAAGAATCTAACGAAATCTGGTGAAATCTTACTATAAGGTCTTACATCACGAATCAGTTTCTATGTTTCTTACAGAATCTTACAAATTCTTATACGAATCTTATGAAATCAGACGGAATCGTACAAGAATCTTATAAGATCTTACAGCAAGATTCTTTGACTTGGGTATACAGTATATATATAACATCATTCTCTTTGAAAAACTTAAAACTTTCTCTTGTCAACTTCACACATCAGCTGAGCACATATGAAGTGCACGGCTAAGAAACGTGACAAAAGACGGTCCTATGGCCGCCTAGGATCTGTGCATGTTAGAAATTATATAGAAAAAGAAAACTGCAAAAATACACAGGAAATTCGACAGGAAATGAGCAAGCGTATGATCTTGTAAGATCAGATGATTTCTTATAAGATCATATAAAATCTTGTGACATCTTATAAGGTCAGATAATTTCTTAGAGCTTCTTTCTGTAAGATCTTATAAAGATCATACAAGATCTTGTACATTCCTAGCATAAGAAAAATCTTGTAAAATCTTATAAGAATCTTGCCACAAGATGTCATATTAAATCTTATAAGGTCTTACAGGAAATTTATAAGATCTTTTGAAATCTTCTGATTTCTTACCATATGATTCACCAAGATCGTATATGATCTTGTAAGATCTTCCAAGATCTTGTTACCTAATACTTGAACCTGGACGATTTCTGTGTGGTTCCATCATAGGCGGCGGAACGATTCTAATTTAGGGGAGGTTCAAAAACTTTTTTGAAACAATGATGGAAGGAAATCAAATATCGGAGCCACCCCAAATCTTCCTCTTTCTTTTTTAGGAGAGGCTTGAGCCTCCACAGGTCTAAGGGCTCCACCGCCTATGGGTTCCATGCAGGGTGCCAAAATCCAATTTTTCGAAATCAGGAGTTTTTCGTAAAAAATCAGGAGTTGGTCGGGAAATTTTTTCTAAAAATACAGGAGGAAAATCAGGAGCAAAACAGAAGAGTTTAGACAGTTTTTCTTGAACAAGCAGAATTTTCATTCCCATAATTAAACGCTTATGACTTTTTTCTACCAAGCAAGTAATGAGTAAGTCTGTCTTACGAGCGAAACAAAGAAAAAGAGAGAAAGATAATCACATGTAGTTTATTCTACTAGTATTTTCCCAGCTGTTCATTTAACAGTATAAACAAAACAGATACAAATATTCTTTAAGAAACCGAGAAGAACCGAAACAAAACAAAGCGAATATGGAGAACAAACTGTTTGCTACACCGTCCGAGATATTTTTGCAACATGTCTATATTTTTCTGATGAGCGAATTTGTTTTAACAGTTCTTGATTATTTAAGAGTTAATTATGAAATTCAGGACAATCGAAGCAGGAAAATAATTCGAAATTAGGAGAACTTAGGAGAATTTTTCATAGGAGAAAAGTCTAAAAATCATCGTTCCTTATTCTCTCTTATAATTAATTCTTCCATGGAGTATCTGACGACCATTTTTCCATGCGATATGGATACACAAACACACTCTTTTGTTTCATCAATAAGAGGTTCGTGCGTGACTACACTGTAATTTGGAATTAATTTCTGCTTTATAGAAAATCGATCTCGAAAATCGCCGGCGATTTTCTGACTTTTATAAATTCTCTGTCGATTTTCTGGTTTTCTATAAATTGACTTTTTCATTTTATTCAGAAAATCGCCATAGAATTTCCAAAAATATGAAAATTCGGTGTCGATTTTCTAATATTCTCGAAATTTGTTTGATTTTCTATAAATAATTCCCAAGATTCTTGAAATCCCACATCGAATTTCTAAAATGTTGGAAAATCGGCTTCGAATTTCAGGAATCTTGGGAATTATTTATAGAAATTCGATCTGAAATTTTCAGAATTTTGGAAATACGAGGTCGAATTTTTCAAGGTTCTTGCAAATTCGATTTTCTAGAATGTGAAAAATCCTCAAGGAATTTATATATGGACTTTTTGAAAATGCCGAGCATTTTCTATAAATAATTCTCAACATTACAGTGTAGTCTACGTGTATTAGTGAGTTGCAGCTCCATTCTACCATTCATGTTCTATAATGTTTTGCGTATAAAAGTGTTCTGCTAATTGGATTTTCAATTTTTTTTAGATTTTACTTGCCAATATTGGTATCTACGTCTGAAAAAATCAAACTTCTAGTTGTCACCACTGCCGTGATATGAATGAAAGACTATAAAATCATTTTTATAATAACTCTTGAAATAAAACCCTTTTTTTCCATTTACAATTTCAATATATTATTTTCATTATTATGTGTGTTTATAGGTGACTTCATCAGCTGTTCGTATATATGCTTGGAAATGAAGTGCAAAAATAAATTTTCTTGTCAAAAGATTAAAGATGTCTTTCAGACACTACGATAATCCTGTCCAGTAACATTGAACTTAAGTTTCCTTGGCAACTTCCACGATTTACAACACATGTGGTGAAAAAATCATTTTAAAATCTTTTATTGTCATTGAAAAATTAGAAGAATACCACTAAAATGTTCACTGAGATTCAACTGATACTCTATCTTTAGGAAAATCTGGTCGAATCTCGACTTATTATATACATTAGAACTTTCAATAAAGCATCAATGCAAAATAAAAAGAAAATCATATTGGCAGAAACGTAAAAAGTCTCACTACATCCTTAGGTAGGGTTGTATCTCACTCACGAGTAGTCTTGTACAAAAAAACTGCTAAGAACGGTTTCTGTTCGAGCCAGAGGAACCTTGACTTAAGCTAGATGAAGAGTGTTGGGACTCGATCGTCTGTCTGGGTTATGTCTGATGATTCCTAGACTGGAAAGGGAGGGAAGCCCTTGAACCATTTTGAAAAATGGAACGAATCGAAAATGTTTACGTCTCACGAAAAGCAAGGAAAGATTTAATTTGCTTAATAGAATAAACGAGGTGAGATCCTTCACTATGAAAATCCAATGCAATCATATGTGCCGATAAACATTGAACAGGCTTAGACGAGCGCTGTTATTTGCAAAGTCGCTATCATGCGTTGTACATAGATAGTTCATCTTACCAAAATACTAGTTTTATATATAGATTTGAAGCCAGACACAAGCAGGTGCTTCTGTGAATTGCCCCAAGATGTTGTCTACAAGCCAAAGTACTAATAATGGTCAGTTTTCTATGGACTATTAGAAACCCATGTCGTTAAAATCGCTCCATTCTGGACGATTACTTGTAATAGCAATAAAATCGCGAATAATCGCAATTTCGACTATAATTATGCATAAATTGCGATATATCGGTGATTTTTAACAACTTTTGATTAATCGGCTTGCATGAAAAATCGCCAGTTGTTAAAAATCATCGATATATCGCCATTCTTAAAAACAACGCAAATTAATTATGATTAATTAGCGATCCTGGTGAATTTTCTGTTTTTTTAATAATGGTCAATTAATTGCGATTCCATGTTGATTTTAAGCCATTGTTATTCACCGTTTTATCCTACAGTGAAGTAAGTATAAAAGAAACACAATTTCAACGAGAAATGTTCTTCCTCTCAGATTATCTTTTTAGTCTAGCTTAAAACGGAGTTGCCAAGGGTGTTCTCTGTAGTTTCCTCAGAGCTGACTCACTGTTTCGATTTGAGTTAACTTTGAACCAAGGAGCCCAGTTGACTGTTAAACTAAAAACTGGCCGATTAACTACTATTAATCGGCAAAACCGCCGATTTATTGACGGTTAAGCGCACGATCAATCGGCTGATTAATCGCAAAAAGGTCGTCGATTATTGCCGATTTTGACTACATGGGGACAAACACCCTGAAGCATTTGACGATATTGAGTTACATTAGGTTACTCAAATACCAATTATTAATGCGATCAATATTAGCCGGACAGTCGGGTGACGTATGAGACAGAACTGGGAGATATCAACGTGCAGTCATCAGCAAGGAGGATAGAATGAATCGTAAGTAGAGAACCAATCAAAAGCACTAATGGAAAGCCCTAAAGAGAACGGTCGATGAAGCAGCATTTAGAAATAGTACTCTATCGAATGCTTCTTCCAATCATGATTAAATATATGCATAATCGTTATGCTGTTTTTTAACCATTACATTGATGAATTCATCAAAAATGCTGATTACGCTAAGTTTGAATATGCCAAATAAATTGCCTATCGTACGATATTCGGCTGTTGACGCCATTATGTATGATACAATAGCCAGTCGTTTAGACGCTGATATAGCTGGGTGCAGTGTTGTATCTCGTTTTGCCATATCAATACCGACCGGCTGTTGTTAATGAATACTGAAATACTTATTTATTCACACGAAATATTTGCTTGAATGTATCATTGCTAATTTTTAAATATCGATGTCAAAAATCTCTTTATTTCTTTGATGTTGCCGTACGGTTCTTACGATTTTTTGTTAAACAATTCAACAATGGAAAAAAACCAGCAGCATATGGTTCACTCGACTAACAAAAAAATGAGCAAGTTTATCCAATTTCCGTACTGATTTGGTGTTCTCAGTCACGATTAACCTTTACTCATGGTTTATGTGGTCACACTGCAGGTTTTTGCGCTGATTCCCAATATGGCATTTCTATTGAATGAAAACGTTTCTGCATCGAGAAAAATGGAAAATACCTGAAATACCAAGGGTTCCTGGGAAACCTTCCAGTCGGTCCAGACGCGTCGGCGCTAATTGACGTTAACTGTGTGGGCATGTCATATATAGGACAACATTCACCGAAAATTCCATCAAATTGGAGCTTCGCTAAAGTTCGTGCATGCATTGTATCAAACACACCTCCTCGGAAAACACGCTAGAGAAATGTCTTATTTTTTTTCTCCAACTTAGAAAGTCCAAAGATAGAAAATATTTTTACTAATCGATAGCGGACTTCATGCCGATTCTGAGTATATGTTGTTTGTCCAATAGCTATGTTTGATTTTTGCGTATAATCCGATTTTCCGATGGACACGGTTTTTTAGCGTATTTTTGAGTATAGAATTATCCCAGCTTAAATAAGTTCTAGGATAAAAGAGTTTTTGCCATTAAATAGAGCATGTTTCAAAGTATATTAATCACCCTTAAAATCACTAAAAATCAATTTTCATTTTTTCACCAAAAGCCGGTCTGGATGCACTCTAAAAAATAGTCGTAGATTAATAAAGTATCAAAAAGGGTTTATTGAGACCAATAAACCTTTTAAAAAACTAAAAAGCGTTCGTGACAGATGCAAAATGAAAACGGGCGGTTTTTTATCAAAAATAAAAACCCTTTTCAGCTTTTTGTCGCGTCTAATATATCAGTTTTTTAGCTAGTTCTTTAGAGTCTACTAAAAGCTGAAAAGGGTTTTTATTTTTGATAAAAAACCGCCCGTTTTCATTTTGCATCTGTCACGAACGCTTTTTAGTTTTTTGAAAATAAAAAACGGAAACGCGTTTTTTAAAAGGTTTATTGGTCTCAATAAACCCTTTTTGATGGTTTATTAATCTACGACTATTTTTTAGAGTGTGCGCACAGTGTGCCGTTTCGTTAATCATAATTAAGAAAAGATCCGGTCACACTACAAAATCGTGAATCATGGTTAACTCTATTCATGATTAATTTTAGTCATGATTACGGACGTAGTGTGACCTTTTGAAAATCTTACTGGCAATGTAAAAGAGATATCGGTCTATAGTTAGATACATGGGTCTTTAGCGCCTTTTTTATGCGTAGAATTAACTAGTGCTAGTTTCCATAAACCAGGAAAACTTCCATTGTCTATTGAAAGTTTAAATATATGATGCAATTGATGAGCAAAGATGACGAATCCTTTTTGAGCAAAGGGTTCTCAGTAGAAGAAACTGTGAAACTAATCGTTGAACTGGAAGGCGATTTCTTACGAAGAAAAAAGGTACAGCGGCTACTAGCAACACTATCATTGAAATAAGATTACGGTTGCGATTATAAATACTATTGAAAACTTTGATCCAGTGCCTGCAAACTCAGTCACGTGACGATACAGTCCTGCGGGTTAGACTATGAATTACACGTTTAAACTGTCATAGGATGGGACAGGTTAAGAGCAAGAAGACTTTCATAGTACATGTTATGTCCTTTCGTAATCTATTTTTAACCAAGAAAAGAAGTTCATGCAGAAAGACTATAATGGTCGTCTCAAAAAGCAAAAAAATGAGTATCCACAAAAGGTTACATTCTGTCAGAATTCTGGAAACCGCACTATGTCATTTCCTCTCAACTGAATCAGAATTATCGACAAACAGTCTACTCGATGTGCCAGCAAGTTTGCGAATTTGCTGGTACATCCAGATGTTACCGCAGTAACATCTGAAAATGTGTTGTCAATGCATAAGGAAAAACAATGATTTGATTGACAACAGAAGTAAAGCTCTAATAAAGCTTGTATATTATATTCAAATGTTTACTTCATCGGAATACGAGCAATCTCGTTCAGTTACTAAACTAAATATCGATTAGATTTTGCATTAGACCAGTTAATAAATGTTTGTTTATTATCGTTAGAGTTTATCGACGTTTCATGCTCTCATTTGTTATCTCAGACTCCAATTTTAAATGTTATAGCGCAAAGCGTTAGAACAGTTGCATAAGTTATTCAAAATAGAAAGAAATTTATTTGTTGTTTGACATTACTTTTATATTCGTGCTAAACTAAACGTTAAAACACGAAAAATTAGGTTTTGTTCTTATCGTATCTTGGTTTATTCTAAAATTGAAGAAAATTTCTACTAGATATTGGAGAAAAGAAAAACTTATTGATTGTAAAATATGGTTTAGAATACTAATTTAGTATATGCATCTGACTACTGTATACATGATAAATCTACAAAGTACATGCACTATCATTTTAAAGGATAATGTGATACTAAACACAGACACACATCGACAAAAGTATACCAGAATAAGAATAAAATCAAGAATATTCTGCGTTGTTTTGAATTTGGATTACTGTTATGCATTCATAAAACGATATTCTAATCCATTTACAATTTTTTCGATACATATGCTGTATGTTTGTCTTATCAATATGCGAAAGAAAAACAATTTTCTTTTTATCGGTATTTCGAATTCTGTTCAACAGAATCTGTTCATAAAAAAAAAAAACGTGACTTTTCATTATGTGAAAAAAAATAGAATTGAAATTATAGATAAATTAAACTTGAAGAAACGAAAAAAAGGAAAGAAAAAAGCAAGTGTGGACTGTGTTCTAACGAATATCGTAACACGATTTTATATGATATCGGGATGTGAATGGTATGTATATGAATTTATTGTTTGACAAGAAAAAAAGAAGAAGACATTGAAGAAACAGGATGTTTCTTTATGACATTTTAAAACACAGATGAATAACTTCTACATTTATCAGTATTACATTCTTAATGTGACGTACAGTTCTAAGATTTTTCATTCAAGCTGGCTTTAGTCAATTTATTAGACATACGATTATAATTAAATGGAAACCAATAAAGAAATAGTCAATGGCAATGGTACATCACTTGATGTTATGTCATATGATAGTGCTGGTGCAGCACTTTTTATCATCACCGTTTTAGTTTGGTATTCATTGGGCATCGTTTTTATGCTTGGCATGCAAATAAAGGGAAGAAGAGAAACGATTGAAGATTGTGCCAGACAACGGGCAAAATTATTGATACGAGGATTAAGAGATCAAACATGTATGAAAGAGATCCTTGGTAAATATCTTTGTTGAAAAATTTAAATAATGATCTTGATCAAATCTATAAAACTTATTAGAACGTTTTTTCGCTAAATGATTTTGAGGCTTTTATGAACTAAATGACTGTAAACACTAGAATTGACCTTCAAATCTAAATAATTTTTAATTGGGTTTTATGATAAAATTCTTGAGAATCAAAAATTCTGTTCTTCATATTTTCTGTTAACCAATGACTCCAGAAATTTCGTGAATAAAATAGACTCTTTTTGAAATGAACATTATATATTGCGTTTTAGAGGAACTTGGTGATAAAAATAAACGTGATAAATTATGGGATATTTATCTTGGTAAAACAAGTGATTTTAATGAAAAACATAATCGTGCTGAAACTTTACGTATAAAAAATATCGAAAGACAATTGGCTGTCTTGAATAAAAATCGTCTTATTATGAACGATGTCATTATACCCGATTCGACAATAACAAAAGTTCGTGAGCAACACAGTGATTCATTGTCAATATCAGAATGGAATCGATCTCGAACTAGACGACGTTCATCGCTCGATCAACAAATACTTGAACAATGGAAATTATTGGCAGATGAAGCAAAAGGTATCGATCAACTTCCATGGTCAATTCGAAGGGTAATGATTCGACGACATTTTCGTCGACATTTGAAAGATACAAGTCCACCTCGTATGAGTCATTGTAAAGATGAGACAACTTCACAGTATAATGATGATAATATTTTGGAATTAAGTCATTCTCCAAATTCATCCATAAAAGATGTTCAAGAAGACCACAACAACAACGATAATCATTATAAAATGGAATGTGAACATTTATTAAATGAACCGTCGATATTTAAACGAACAGCAAAAAGTGCTGATATTTTTGATACAACAAAAAATCTTAGTAACCAGCATGGTGAGCAATATGAATTATCAAGTTCCGATGGTCATAAGCCTTATTTGACATGGTTTAATCGAACATCATCCATTTTACCAAGTGTTTTAATTCATCCATCGATTGCAAATAATCGAGTATGTTCGACAAGTCATATTACAGTAAACATCGAGCCAGCTGATGATGATGTCTTATCAGAAATAAAACAGCATCAGCATTCAAAATGTTAAACAAATTTTAAGAATCTTTTTAGTTTTTTCATTGAATTTATAATTTATAATTCGTAAAAATATTTAGTATCAAAGAAATGTATAGTTTTTCATTGTCTATTTTCAATAGTAATTAGTACAGAGTACAAAAAAAATTCTCAAAAATCAAGATTTCCGTAGACTTTTGTTTCATACGATATTTTCGTACAAACTTTCTAAAGAATTATGAAGAACTCTAATTTTTCTTTCTAACAGATACTAAAATAGAAAATATCTTGACTAATTCTTTGACTAACAGTAGCCTGTTATTTTACAATTCTATCCTAGTGACTATTATAGAAACTATGCTCTCTTTTTCTTAGTTATTCATTAATAAAAGGTGATCACTGTCGTAGAACGTTTTAGCATAGAGACAATGACGCTAAATTTGAAGATAAAAAAAAAATGATTTTTTATATTTAGCGAATGACAATAT